GAGGAGGGCCGCACGCTGCTGGCGCAGCAGGAGAGCGGCTACTCGTCGCCCAACATCTCGGCGCAGCACACGCCCACGGCGCACCACCGCCTCGTCAACCCGCCCGGATACATGCGGCGCTCGCTCGAGCTGTCGCCGCAGCGCGCGCCGTCCACGCGGCCGCGCATGTCGCTGCCGGCGGACCACCTGCGGCGCACGCTGGACGGCCGCTTCTCCGTGCAGGCCGCCGAGCGCCGCCGCCGCCTGTCGCGCGGCAAGACCATCAGCCAGGACGAGGGCTTCCCGCCCGCGCCGCCGCCGCCGCCGCGTCCACGCCCCAGGACGGCGGCGGCGCGCGGCCCAACACGCGCTGGCGCCGAGCGCTGTCGCGGCGGGGTCGTCGAGCGCGAGGAGAGCACGGGCGAGGAGAGCGGCTTCGAGGAGGAGGAGCCCGTGGAGGTGCGCGTGCCGCCCCGGGTGCTGGAGGAGCGCCGCGACTCGGGCGCCTCCACCACGCAGGTCACGGCGGCCACGACCCGCTGGCGGAGTGGGCCATCCAGTGGGACCAGCTGCGCTTCGGCCACGTGCTGCGCCGCGGCTCCACCACCAACATCTACAGGTAGGCCCGCGCGCTGCAGCGCCAGGAACATGCGCGTTGTCGACTTCATTGCTGTTATTATCGTTATTGTTGCATGATGACTTTTCCCTCGCTTTGCCATATAGCCTTCTCTAGCCCTGCCCCTAACCCCCCCCCTCCCACAGGGGCCGCTGGCACGCGACGTCATGATCCACACCTTTCGACGGCTCCGACGCCAGCACCGAGCGCCGCTTCTGGGCGCTGGTGTCCAGCCTGTCCATGATCCGCCATGAGAACATCGTCCTGTTCATGGGCGCGTGCATGGCGCCGCCGCACCTGGCCATCGCGGGCGTGCGGCGGGGGATGTCCCTGCACCAACACCTCCTCCAGGGCTCCAGGGTCACATCGCGACAGGTGGGTGCGCTGCAGCGCCTATTTAACGATCGTTTTTGTATCTGTGACATAATCAGTATTATTGTATTTTTTTCTCATTTTTATTGATATTGTCATTATATCATTATCCCCATGATCGCTCATCACTTTATTCATCTTTTTGGCCACTCGCTCCTCTTCGTCCCGGAGGTCTTAGTCGCCCACGGAGCGGCCTTGGGAATCTGACGGTCACTTTTTGATTTCATTGTGGCGATACTAGCCACACCCTTTTCACATTTTACAGTCACCCACATGCGGCCATTAGCTGTCGCGGCCGGGGTCGTCGAGCCGCGAGGAGAGCACGGGCGAGGAGAGCGGCTTCGAGGAGGAGGAGCCCGTGGAGTGCGCGTGCCGCCCCGGTGCTGGAGGAGCGCCGCGACTCGGGCGCCTCCACCACGCAGGTCACGGGCGGCCACGACCCGCTGGCGGAGTGGGCCATCCAGTGGGACCAGCTGCGCTTCGGCCACGTGCTGCGCCGCGGCTCCACCACCAACATCTACAGGTAGGCCCGAGGAGGTCGCGCTGCAGCCGCCAGGAACATGCGCGTTGTCGACTTCATTGCTGTTATTATCGTTATTGTTGCATGATGACTTTCCCTCGCTTTGCCATATAGCCTTCTCTAGCCCCTGCCCCTAACCCCCCCCCTCCCACAGGGGCCGCTGGCACGGCGACGTCATGATCCACACCTTCGACGGCTCCGACGCCAGCACCGAGCGCCGCTTCTGGGCGCTGGTGTCCAGCCTGTCCATGATCCGCCATGAGAACATCGTCCTGTTCATGGGCGCGTGCATGGCGCCGCCGCACCTGGCCATCGTGACGGGCGTGCGGCGGGGGATGTCCCTGCACCAACACACCTCCTCCAGGGGCTCCATCCCCTACCCCTCCAGGGTCAACATCGCCCGACAGGTGGGTGCGCCCCCGCTCTCGGCAGCGCCTATTTAACGATCGTTTTTGTATCTGTGACATAAGCAGTATTATTGTATTTTTATTCTTATTTTTATTGATATTGTCATTATCATCATTATCCCCATGATCGCTTCATCACTTTATTCATCTTTTTGGCCACCTTTACGCTCCTCTTCGTCCCGGAGGTCTTAGTCGCCCACGGAGCGGCCTTGGGAATCTGACGGTCACTTTTTGATTTCATTGTGGCTCATGATACTATCTCTAATGCCACACCCTTTTCACATTTTATTCAGTCATTCAGATGCCCACATGCGCTTTAATCTCCCTTAGATTTATTCATTCATCTTGTACATGTTCCATCCATTCGGGTATTTATCCATCCAACTGTATACATTTAACTATTCATTATTCATATATTCACAAACACGCATTCTTCAACACACACTCCTCTTACACAGCACATCATGTACCCATTCACCATCAATCCACTTTTTTATTCCCTCCCTCATCCTCATGCTCCCCTCACCTCCTTCCCTCCCTCTCTTCTTCGCCACATCACCCATCTTCCCTCCCTAATTCACTCCTTTCCTCGTCAAGTTACATCTTCCCTCCCTCTCTCCTTACCTCCCTTCTTCTCTTCCTACCCAGGTCACTCACCTTCTTTCTCTTCCTCTCTCCTCCCTTTCTCTCCCCCTCCCTTGCCAAACCACTCAACTATCCTCCCTCTTCAAGTCTCTCATCTTCCCTCCCTCCGTCTCTTCCCCCTTCCCATCCAAGCTACTCACAGCCTTCCATCCCTCCCTCCGTCTCTTTCCTCCTCCTCCCCTCCGTCTCTCCCTCCCCCTTCCCTCCTTCACCAACCAACTCACCCCTTTCCTCTCCTCCCCTCCTCTCCTCGTCTCTCCTCTCCCTCCCTCCCTCACTCCCTCCTAGCCACTCCCCTCCCTCCTCCGCAGGTCGCGCAGGCCATGTCGTACCTGCACTCTCGCGGCATCATCCACGGTCGCCTCAACTCTCGCAACGTTTTCCTCGAAGCCAAGATCAAGCTGAGCCTCCTGGACCACAGCATGGCGGAGTCGTCGCCGGCGGGAGAGGACACGGGGTGCCTCGCGCAGGGGCTCCTCACCTACCTGCCTCCCGAGGTATTGTTAGGCGCCTTCAGGCTTCTGGTTGTTTTGGGTTTGGTTGCATGGTCACCTGTTTATGGAGGAGGAGGACGTCGGGAGTGGTGGAGATCGCGAACGAGGTGTGAGTCCCTGTGATTCCTTCAGTTTTTCATGTGTGTTGTGTGTGTGTGTGTGTGTGAGAGAGAGAGAGAGAGAGAGAGAGAGAGAGAGAGAGAGAGAGAGAGAGAGTGAGTCCCTGTTATTCCTTCGGATTTCATGGAGGTCGTGTGATTTTTGTTATACGGGCAATTTGGTTTCAGATATTGGGGTTGGTTAGGTTTAGCTATTCTGATGATGTGATTGTTACTGATAGGAGAGACCCCAGAAAGTTCTGTACCAACACAACTCTTATTGTCTAATAGATTATCTATTAAACTATCCACCATTGGCTTCTTGGCGTCTCATGACTCAGTGACTGTTGCTGCTTGACGAAAAGAAAAACTGGTGTAGCACTGTGACCCCATGAATCCAGAGAAGCCCCACCACTAAAGTCCTAACCCCCTATGATCACTGAAGCGACCTGTGAACTCTCATTATTTATTGAAGAGATTTGTGACCTTTCATGGCTTATTTGAACACCCAATGACCTATCATGGTTTACTGAAGCACCCTCTGACCCTTATGACTTATTGAGGCACGTTCTGACCCCTCTTGACTTACCTTGGCACCCATGGCCCCTCATGACTTATTGAAGCAACACCTATCTTGCCGAGGCACCCTTGACCTCTCGTGGCTTATTAAAGCACCCACTGACCCCTCATGACTTACCGAGGCACCCCTGACCTCTCGTGCCTTATTGAATCACCCTCTGGCCCTCAGGATCTGCTACCCCCCCCCCCTCTGACCCTCCGAGCCTCACGAAGTACCTTTCTGACCTCCCGTGACTTCCCACAGATGATGCGGACCGTGGTCGTGGCTCCGCCCCAGGTCACCGTCAGCGCCCCGCCCACCCAGCAGTCGGACGTATACATGTACGGGACGCTCCTGTACGAGCTGTTCGCCGAGGCCACGCCCTTCGCCTCACAGCACCCCCACGCGGTCATCCTGCAGGTGGGCAAGGGAAGGCAGCCTCCCACGGGGGAACTGCAGTGCACTCAGAACCTGAAGGTAAGTTCAGGGGCCTGGGGGAAGATGGGGGAGGGGAGGGGTGTGGGGGAGGGAGGGAATGGGGATGGGGAGGGGGGATGGAGACGAAGTATTAGAGGGGAGTGGCAGGCGGAGGGAGATGAAGGGAGGGAGTAAAGGCACGAGAAGAGGGAGATTGAGCAAAAGAGAAGGAGGGAAGGAGTTGGAGAAGGAGAGAGGGAGCCAGAGGGAGGAAGGAAGAGAAGGGGAGGAAGGGAGGGAGTTGGAGAAGGAGAGAGGAGCCAGAGGGAGAAGGAAGGAGGGAGTTGGATAAGGAAGGAGAAAGAGAGAGAGGGAGGGAGGGAACGAAGGAATAGAGAAGAAGGAGGAGTTCCCCGTAGACAGTAAGGAAAAGAGAAGGAGAAATGATAGAAATGGGGAAAAGTGGAAAGAGGGAGAAATGATAAAAGGGAGTGAGATAGGAAGGGAGAAGAAAGTAAAAAGGGAAGAGAATAGAAGAGAGAGACCTTCTTTCGAAAATACTTTCATAAAAAAAATTGGTCACAATCCTCTCTCTCTCTCTCTCTCTCTCTCTCTCTCTCTCTCTCTCTCTCTCTCTCTCTCTCTCTCTCTCTCTCTCTCTCTCTCTCTCTCTCTCTCTCTCTCTCTCTCTCTATCTATCTATCTATCTCTATCTTTCTCTCTCAAGTTCCTTCCGGCAATCTTTTTTGCTTAAAAAATCCTAATGAAAAAATCTTCCTTACTGAAGGATCCCTCTAGTAATATTCCTTCAGATCCCAAGCCCTTGTGGCATATCCTTCCTCCTCCACGGACTTTATTCTAACCTGAAAGTCCTTCCGTCAAACATTTCTGCAGTCGAAAAAAAATCCTTAGACTCAAAAGTTCCCTCCAATAGAAGTCCTTCAGATCCAAAAATCCTTATAATGGAAAAAAAAAATCTAATTAAAAAGTCCAAATAGATGTCCTTCAGATCCAAGAGTCCTAATAGTATATATATATATATATATATATATATATATATATATATATATATATATATATATATATATATATATATATATATATATATATATATATATCCATTTGAAAATCCTAATGAGTCCTTCAGACCCAAACCATCCTTCAGATAGGGTCCTCAGCCGCCACGCCCTCCTAACAGCCTCCTCCCGCAGACCCTCATCGGCGAGTGCTGGGACTCGGAGCCGGCGCAGCGCCCCATCTTCCCGGACATCCTGCGCACCCTCCAGCAGACGCTGTCCCTGCACCGCGCCCACTCCACGTCCGAGCCCGAGAGACTGAACCGCATAGGACTCTCCGGCAGGATCTCTTGCTGACAGGAGTTCGGGCGGCCTCCTCCTCCGGGAAGGTCGCTCACGGAGGAGACGATCGCGGACTCCCTGGCCGGCGAACACTTCCTGAAGCTTCCCTGAGGCGAAGGAGGGAGGAAGGAAGGAGATGGCAAGGAGGAAGGAGCGGGAGAAGGAGGAGAGGGGAGGAAGATGTAAACGAGAAGGAGGAGGAGAAGGAAGGAACGGGAACACGAGAGAGAGAAGGATGGAAGGAAGGAAGTGTTCGCCTCCGGGCATGTGTGCGCCAGAGTCCCGCGTGGCCGCCCGACACGACACGCCCACGCCCATCGCCCGCCCGTGCTCACTGGCTGGGTTTCCTCGCTGACGCCCGCGTGTAAAAAGCAAAACAAAAGAACATCGAGACTCATAACGAGGTCGATATACTGAGGTCAAAAACGAATGTGGGCCAAAAAAAAAGACAAAAAAAAAGACAGAGAGAAAGACAGATGAAAAAAATATGTCTACATGTGTTGTATGTGTCAACCAAGCGTAAAATTGAGACAGATCAAGTGCTTTTTTCTGTCTTGATTGTGTCTGACACTATTACCAAATCTCTCGTAACCAAAAATCTTTTTTTTTTAAGATGTGTACTGCTCTTTTTCTGTTATGAAGAAAAACAAGGGATGAAATGAAATAATGTAGTGTAAGATAAAGATATATTATCTCACAACCGAGCCAGAAGTAGATTACCTCTTTAAAAGTGTTTATAGGGTTTTGTGAAAGTAAAACAAGTTTTGTATTAGCGATCTCTACATGGCAGGCGGCCGGGAGAGAGATGCCTATAGTACTCTTAAGATGAATATCTGTTTACCTCACTCGCTCAATGTCCTCGAAAGTCAGAAATAGAAGAGAAATAAGAAATACATTAAAAACTAGCTAGTCTTTAAAAGATATATATCTTCCACGTACCAAAGTTTATAGTTCCAGCCCATCAAGTTTTCCCGCCTTTTTATCATTTTTCTCTGATGGAGATGTTGCGCATCTCCTTCTTCATCTGTCTTCCACCAGCTCAAGGGTGACATGGGAAAGGCGATCGAAAGGGCCACTTAAGAGCCACACGGAAGTCCACTTCATTTTGATTAAACTAGGACCTACGAAAGGACATACATATAAACTCCTTTAGAAATCCCAACCAAGGGGATCCAATCCCTTGTCCCCGCAACTCTATAAAGTAATCGAAATCCCCGTAGGAGAATCATATCCTCTTTTGTTTTTACCAGAGTATAAGGTCATAGCACAGAGCGAATGGCAAATGACAATGGCTCTCAATGGTGGCTCTTTCGGCTGCCCTTCTCGCATGTCCCTTAGAACAATAAGAGTGTAGTTTAATACTCCCAACAGTCCGAATTCTGTTCGCTGATAACGCAATAGACAAGAGATTGTTTTTGTCTTAGCCTAGTGTTGCGATCTCTAAGACTCGGATATTTAGTCACAAAGCTCTTGATGCTGAGTATTGATAATAATACTGTATTTTCGGGTTATTATCAGTAGATTTTTTTCTTAGAAAATCATGTTATCTTTTTTCATCTAAAGTAGATATAAAAACAAATAGGTTACCTATTAACATTTATCGAAAATGTTTATGCATCTCTATAAACCAAAGAATAATGTTTATTCATCATAATTATTATTCAGAGATATCGATTTTTATACCAGAGTTAGTAAACAAAATATTGGTTCTTGTTGTAGCGTAGACCGACGGGGAGGGGGGGGGGGAGGGGGTAGGGAAACGTGCGTATTTGAAAGTGCTAAAAACTCTTCCACAATTTCTCTAGTTTCAGCTCAACTAAAATCTAGTTTCTAATTCTATTGATCTTTTTTTTTTCTTATCAATCGTTGGAATGACATTTAATGACAGTAATTAGGCCTCTGTGTAATGATGGAATGAGTGTTCTGTGCCTCTCAGAACTGCGCAGTTAGACGGGAATCAGACAATGTTTGAGGTTAACTACAGAAGCCTTTCTTCACTGTGAATACAACCAGAGATGGTGACATGTTTAAAGTGACCACTCTTTGCACACACACACACACACACACACACACACACACACACACACACACACACACACACACACACACAACACACACACACACACACACACACACACACACACACACACACACACACACACACACACACACACACACACACTGGTAACTTGAGCCGTTCCCATTTTTATCCGATATCTGTCTGCACTTAATGGGTATCCCACTGAATATTGTTTTGAATCAAAATGCAAAAGCGCTTTTTTATATATGCGAAGTTAGAGAAAACTGCTTTTACTGCAAATTGCACTTGCAGTATCTAGTTATTTTTTCATCAATTTGAAACGTAGCTATTTAAACTAAAGGTATTTGTAAAAAGATATATATATATATATATCTGTGTATATAACTATTAGTGTATGCATTCTACTGTAAATGCTAATTTATATAAAAAAGAATGCAATATAGTACATGGCATATATAGTGCACTGGTATATCGTAGGTGTTCCAGCAAACCATATATAGATATATTACAAAGATAAATACGTGTGATACAGCATACCACATAACATCACAGTATATACTCATTATTCAGTAGGAAAGACGCCCATTTCTTTCTCCCAGCCATTATATCTCAATCATATTGATTAGACCCAATATCGAATCTAAGTCAATGACTGTTTATACTGTACCATTTCTATCTCCTCTGCTGTAGGCTTTTCCCCACAATACTGTTGCGAATTTCCCCTTCGCAGTTTCCCAAGTCGAAGTGTGAAGCTTGTCTGCCATTTCGACCCCTTGAGTTGGGGAAACAGCGGGCCTTCACCCCCTCCGTTTCCGTTCCGTTCTGTAGTGAACTTGATCTGTAGCGAGACCTTATACTGTCGATATCAGTGCCAAAGATGTGCTTTCGCGAGGCAGTCAGGTCGGGAGGTAGAAGGAGGTCTCATTGCCAGGGTCTTCTTGCGTTTCCTTCCCTCGTACATTTTCTGGTGCATTTGTATGTCTTGGAGATGTATATTGTCTTCACCTGCCTCCTTCTCCTAGTGCTGTCTGCACCATCTCTCTCTCTCTTCGTCTCTCTCTCTCTCTCTCTCTCTCTCTCTCTCTCTCTCTCTCTCTCTCTCTCTCTCTCTCTCTCTCTCCTCTCTCTCTCTCTCTCTCCTCTCTCTTCTCTCTCTCTCTCTCTCTCTCCCTCCCTCCCCCTACCCTCCCTACTCTCCCTCCCTCTCTCCCCCCTCCCTCCTCCCCCTCCCTTCCCTTCCCTTCCCTTCCCCTTCCCCCTCCCCTCTCCCTCTCCCTCTCCCTCTCCCTCTCCCTCTCCCTCTCCCCCTCCCCCCCTCCTCCCTCACTCCCTCCCTCCCTCCCCTCCCCTCCCCCTCTCCTTTCCTCTCTGTCTATCTATCTATATCTGTCTAGCAATCTTTCTCTTTCTAGGAAAATATGTACCGCGTCGTTGATAACAAGAGAACCTGATTACAGTATTAATATGTTAACTACAGGAGTGTACAAGTATTTGGTATAAGGTTAAATCGAGATTCCGTTATGGTGAACAACTTTCGTTATAGCAAACATAAATGGCGGAAAGTTTGTTATGCGATCATTGTTGTCAGTCTTATAAAAAAAAAAAAAACCATAGCAGATATAGTGAATACCTGAGATTGTTGCATGACCACATTTCGAGTCATGAAGTCAAATCTATATATTAAAAAAGAAAACCTTATTTTCTATAAGATGGTGTTTTAAGAATAGGTTTTCAGTTAAGTTTCTCTGCTTTGATAATTTAAGGTAATTTGATTCATTTGTTTAGGTTATTATCGTTTTTTTGCCTCCAGGTGTAAAGAAAAATATCTGACGTAATTCTTCCCTCGAGGCGTCATGAAAGACATAGATTCTTAAGTTCAAATTGCACAAAGAAAAGTATTCAGCAGCTATCTTCAGCGGGAGACTATTCCTGAATCTGTAGACTGCTCTTTATCTTGAATTTTTATAAAGATAATGGACAACTGAAGCCAAAGCAATTTTACAGACAAGTTTTTGTGTGTACAATAACCAGTTTTTATAAGATAATTTAGTTATACTCATAAGTTATGTTAAAGTTTAGTGTTAAGTTTATTATGTTCATGAGTCCTCTCATTCTTCTTTCCTTTCAAAAGCATGACAATAAGATCTATTCTTCAGCAATCCTTAATTAGTCAGACGGTTTTTGCCTCTCTAGTCGAAAATCATATGATGTAAGTATGTTTATGTGAACCTTATGTATATCACAACTAAGATACCCCAATATTAAGCTCGGTGACCAAAGATTACAAGCATAAAATGTGATTACAAAGGTAAGGGATGTTTATGTAAAATAATGCCTTATTGTGTAAACAAAAAATGAATGAACAAAATCAAGAAAAAGACAACACAAGAAAATAAAAGAGGAGTTTGTTGAATTTCCAAACGCAAATCACAACAAAAAACGCAAAGAAACAAAGAAACAAATAAAGAACGATAAAAAGAAAGTGAAAAAAAAGGTTTATATGTTTTAAAACAGTGAATGATATAAATACATGTAATACACATTTCATTCCGTAGACTAATGGAATCTCCCGCAGTGTCAGATGAAAAGCAAATCGTGTTAATGTCATGTAAAATACAGTCTTTTTAAAAAACCCCAAAAATAAGAATAAAAAAACTGTTAATTCCACTGTTGAATGTTAACAATGGCAAAGATTAAACTACATGGTGCGGTGTTGAACTGTGTGTGAATATTTTGTATATCAGTGTCTGTCTCATAGTAAACTTAAAAGATAAAAATGGTGGACGTTTTACAAGGTGTAAACATGTTTGTTTCGTGTTGCGTTCATGCGCTGGACGGCCCCTTCTTTTCTGTTTTCTTCTTCCATATTTTTTTAAAAAACTCCTTCTCTTGTTCTTCGTGTTCTTGTTTTTCGCTGTGACTTTTTTTTTTCAATGGAAGATGGAGATGTTCATGTATTTTTTTTGTGTGTGTGTTAAGCATTTACGTTCATTTTCATCGTTATTATTGCTATTATAATTAATGTTATTCTTATCATTGTTTCCGCTTTATGTTGGATTATCATTATTGATATTATTATTATTATTATTATTATTATTATTATTATTATTATTATTATTATTATTATTCCTATTATTATTGTTATTATCATCATCATCATCAACATCAATATCATTATTATCATTAGTATTACTACTGCTATTATCACTATTATGATTATTATTAGTAATGTCATTATCATTACTAGCATTATTGTTAGTATCATCACAACAATAGTAAACATTATTATTTTAATTATATTTTTCATCATTACTATTATTATCGTTTTCATTATCATTATCATGTTCATTAGCATGATTACTTTCCATGTTATAATTACCGTTAGTAATATCATCATCATTAGAATTACTATTATCAATATTACCTATATTACTTTAATCATTGCTATTCTCATACCAACTATTACCTCTACAGCAGTTGTTATTATCATTACTTTGTTGTTATTATGGTAATTATTTCCTCTTTTTGCCACCAGGAGGCAATTGAGAGCCAATGAATCACAGAACATGGATAAATTCTTTGAATAAAGTCATCAGATGAATTCGTTATTGCTATTATTTATATTTTCGTTTTTTGTCAATATTCTTTTTCACTTTCTGTTTTGTCTTATTCATCTATCAGTTTTTTTTTTCATTTGTTTTTCCTTATTGTATGATTTATTAATCAATGTTGTTACTATTGTTGATATCATTATTATCATTATCGTTGTCATCATTATTATTATCTTGATCATTATTTTCTCACCATCATCACCATTAGTAGCAGTAGTACAGAAGTATCAGTATTACTTTTATTATTATCATTATCATCATCATCATCACCATCACAATCATCATTATCATCATCAACATCATTGTCATCATCAGTATAATTAGTGTTATCATCATCAGTCGTGTCATTATCAATTTCATTTTCATTACTTTTATTCTCTGTTTCAATGTGTTCTGATATTTATGTGCACAAGAACAATATACCTTGTTTTCTTTCTTTTTGAACAGACAATGATTTATTTTTTTTTATTATTAATTTTTTTATTTGTCATGAACACCATCGCCATTTTTAAAGTTTTCTGAAACCTTTGTACTGACTTTTTAAAACGTGTCGAAGTTGCTCTGAATAAGTAGCCATTTAAGAAGAGAAAATAATAGTATCATTATCTATCGTTTGTAAAAAAAAAAAAAAGACAGCATTGAATTAGAAAAATGATGATGGTAATGATTTTTCCACAGTAGTTAAAATGACTTTTATTGAAGCGAAATTCGAGCCGCCTTTCAGAGCAGTTCAGACAAAGAAGCCATTTTGGATTTTGATTTCAGACAAATTTCAGAAGTCCAAACTGTAAGGTTGTGAGAATAGTTTTGAGGCTGTAGGTCATATGTTAATCTTTTCTTAAAGAGTAATTGTGTTTTGTGAACACAGATGTTTATCATACATTCTATATAATGTTAAATGATGTATGAAATCCTATATTTTCTTATTGTTGTAACTATTTGTACCTACTTCATTGTAATCGTAACGGGAATGAATTCGGGAAAATGTATAAAAAGGACAATTGCCGTAAATTTCCGTGTGTGTTTATGTGTCTCCGGACAGTCCTGTGGAGCGAGACAGGGACAGAAAACGTAGATGCGACAACTGATGATAAATGAATGAAACAGAAGGGAGAATTTCGCAGTTTTCCAAGGCCGGGTTTCGTTAGTGGTAATAGATATGATCTTGCCTTAAGGAATAATTTCAACAATTGAATGAAGGGAAGATATATATTTATATCATTAATGTAACTAAATGCTACCTCGGTCTTGTGAAACTTCATATTCTTATTTACATGCATTTCCTCATCAGTTCAAAATGCCATCATCGGTGTTAAAAAGTGTTTTTCCAACCCATTCCATCGCCAATTAGGAATGCATAGTCTGGGAAAGCCAGCAATAGGT